GAAATCCAATGGGGGTCACTAGGAGTCGGAACCGACTCGATGGCAGTGAGCAGTCACCTTGATGAGTGAGCCTCTCCTGTTCTACAGACAAACAGGACGCCTGTAATGTGGTCTGCCGAGCATCTAGTCTCCCTCCCTTGGCCAACAACACTCTCATTCTCCTCAGAGGACACCTCATCTCCATTCACAGTCCAAGTGGCCACGAGACCCAGGGGCCAACAGAACATGGCTTTCCCTTGGCCACTGTGATTGGTTCAGAGACAGGCTCATAATGTGTTTGGCCAATCAGAGACAATGAGCGTCAGCCCAGGGACTTTGGCTAGAATGCATCGAAAGGAGACACACTCCTCCCTCTGAGGTTGCTAAGCAGATGGAACAGAAGTGTGGAGCTCTTGGGGCCATCTCTGCTACACCAAGCAGAGAGCCAGGAACGAAGTTGACGTGCAGAACCTCAGAACCAAGCGGCAGAGTGATCCGTGACCCTCCGCACTCTTGCCTCAGGCTGATTCCGACTGTTCAGTTTTCACACACACAAGCAGAGAAAACAATACTGAGTCTCCGTTAACTATCAACACTGTGTTAACACTGGTACATCTATTCTCCCCTTCTCTGGTGTTTCTCAGTGTGGGGGAGGCTAAGGAAGCCGGGTGGTGCAGTGGTAAGTGCTTGGCTGCTAACATAAAGGTTGACAGTTTGAACCCACCAGCTGCACTGCAAGATAAAGACCAGGCAGTCTGTTGCAACAAAGACTGACAGCCTTGGAAACCCTGTGGGGCAGTTCCACTCTGTCCTCTAGGGGCGCTATGAGTCGGAATCGACTCACAGCAGCGGGTTTGGTTTGGGCTTTGCTTCTGTGAAGGTTGACGGCCTTGGAAACTCTCTGGGGCAGTAGTGCTCTGTCCATCAGGGTTGCTATGACTCGGAATCAACTCGATGGCAGTGGTCTGGTTTGGATGGGGGGAGGCCTGACTATGTTAAAACACTCGGCGTGCATCATGTTATCTCAGCCATACGTGTCTCAATATCACAGCCAGTATTGAACAGGGTGTCACAGACAACCAAGAGAGTTCCAGCTAATAGAATACTTCCTTGTTCCCCTGACTTTGGTTGATGACAAATTCCTCAGAATGGCATTCAGGGGTCCACCACTTAGCTGGCATTTCCTCAGGAAAGATCAGACGGTCAGTGAAAAGGGACAGGGGAGGGGATGCACTGACCGTGCAGGGTTTCATAGGCCTGGATCACCTCCGACATGAACATGGGTCTCTGGCGGGCGATGTTGGCAAGGGACCCCAGGGC